TGTTCAGACTTTACGTGTCAATGAATTTGCTACATGAAGGGTACAACTAGAGCTAGGATGGCCCAAATAATTTTGGCATATGTTGTAACGGGGATTGAATAACCCTGAACAGTATTAAGTATGAAAAAGAAACTATAATATCGAATATTGTATCGCCCATTTCTGGCTACTAATGTTTATCAAACTTGTTTTATGATGGTTTAAGACTAGTATGGTTCTCAAAACTTGTTGGTTCTAGTTGAACATGACATTCACTTATAAATTTTTTGGGGTTTGAGTCAGGAAAAAAACTGAGCAGTTATGAATAAAACCTCTATCTGTTAAATATTGTGTCAGCATAACAGCTTACCCCATGAATTTGCTGCATCTAACCAAAACAATTGTTGTGATCACAGGAACATGGTTCCTGTACCCTTTATTGTACTCTACCTCAAACCGTTTGCAACTTTTCTTGCTGCAAAGAATCAGGCAGCTTCTAAATTTCTTGACATGTTATTTGAGAAGGCCAAAGAGAAGGCAGGCCCTGTGGAAGAATTTCAATGGCTTGGGCTGATGCTATTTGTGGCTGTACCGTTCCCTGGAACAGGAGCTTGGACTGGGGCTTTCATTGCCTCTATATTGGACATGCCATTCTGGTCTGCCATCTCAGCCAATTTTCTTGGTGTTGTATTAGCTGGCCTTCTGGTAAACTTGCTGGTTAACCTTGGACTCAAATATGCCATTGTAGCTGGTATAATTTTATTTGTAATCTCTAGTTTCATGTGGAGCATTCTTCGTTATCTTAAAAAATCTTTGAGCTCATCAATTTGATTCTGAACATGTGGAATAATTTTATGGACAAACTATATTAATGTAGCCATAATTTTATAAATATGTATCTGTTGAAGTATAAACTGTTTATTCGTGGATTTAAATAATGAGTCTATGAAGTAGTTATTTTGGACTAATTGAAAATGACTTTATATTGCTGCAGGGAACTGATCTATGAACCTACAAAAATGAAGGTAGCGGTTGGTTTGCATTTTCATTTTTAAAACGATTTTTAGTTTTCCTCGAAAATGGCCCGTTTTGAGCGTTTCGGCAAATTATAACTGAAGACGCTCAAAATGATAAAAAGTCATTTTGCATTTTCAGTTATAAATTTTAACTCGTTTTCAAAAATGCATTTTCAAAAACGACGGACCAAACGCGTTTTCCACGTTTTAAAAAAGGAAAACGGAAAATGGTCCAAAACGGCAAACCAACATCACCCGAAACTTCTCACATTCATTTGATGATCACAATGTGAGGTGCATGTCCCTTTGTCAGTTTACCTGGGTTTGAGACTCGCCATACCTCTTTTCCATGTGCTTTTATGCATCAAAATGAATTTGAGTAATTAATACTTTAAGAAATAGAATTTTGGGCATTGGTTCTTATGCCCATTCCTCCCGAGGGCCGAGGGGTTGGGGAAAAAGCTACTTACTGAGTTCTTGAGCTGGGGAGTTAAGACTGAGGAAGGTAAAGAGTGAAGTAGTTACTTCTTTAGTTCTATCAATGGCTGTAGTCTTTCCTTTAATCAATGAATATTAAAGTTCAAGTCCTGATATGATTTGGTGCCTAACCTGAGGCATAAGAAATACAAAACCCTTCCCCCATCGACAAAGGGTGATGACGAAGCCAATTTCATTGCACCACCACTAGGTATGGAGCTGTCATTTGTTTCATTAGTGGCTAGAGTAGGAAAGTTACTTTAGTGGCTCAAGTATTTAACCCTAGTGAAATCTCAAACTACATTATCACTGAAGTTTAGCTTTCTCCTCATTCTATGTGTAGCTTCACCATAAAAAGGGTAAGTCCCCAGAGATTAAATCTTTCTATTCCGGTGCTTAGGGTCCCCATGTCAAATGAAGTGAAGAAACCCCCTGCATAATAAACCCTTACCTCTAACCACTGAATAGTGAAAACCTACTCCATATCTACTACTGCCTGCTTACTTATCCTGTTCTCTTTTTGGCATATATCACTCATTATCTGTGATGCTTGTTTACTATGAGTACACTATATGGTTTTTTATGATGCTTTGACTTCTTAAATTCTCGAGGTCCTGAACTGTTTAATCATCTAGGCTAAATCTTGGGGGAAATTGATAAGATGATCTTTAAGCCATAGTCTAAGACTTCATCAAACTGTTGAATGGTCCTTAAGATGTTAGCACTTAGCACATTACGTACTAGTAAGATTTCCTAACAAGATCAAGAACGAATATGTATTTAAATCTATTATGGTTATCGAGTTATAAACTTGGACTTTTTGGATGTTTAGAAGAAAACAGAACATTCATTTAAACATAGTTTAGGGATTTTAACAAAACTTTTGCATTTTCAACGAATTTGTGGTAGTCTACTTTAGAATTTTGAAAGCAAATGATAATTATTTGTTTTCTCAAAATTATAGGGCTATTGCATGTGTTACACTGCAGTGTCTTTAATCAACGGTAGCTTTATTGTGCACGAAGAATATATCAATGCTCAATTATTGCGTATCCTTCCACCCTTTCATCTTTCTCCCACAATATTTCCACTTCTTGAGAAACCAGGGGCATCATCAACTGACCTATATCACGTTTATCTAGACCAACCAATCACAGAGCTGGTGTAAGACACACTCCCAGATATTGATTTTGGTTGTTGCTAAAGTTTTCTAGTTTCAAGCTGCGACCTATATTCTAACGACTTGGGCCTCATGCCCAAATCGTTATATCATATGTATTGTCCGCTCTGGGGAGTCTGAGCTCATCTTTCACCTCACAGCTTTTTGTCGCTTCCTCCAATATTCGAATATACGACCTGTGTCATGTGAGATACTTAATTTAAATCCTAGTTCAATTGGCTTGGATTTGAATCCTGAAGGAAGCAACAGAAAGCTATGAAGTTCAAGATGGACTCTCTCATAGCAGATAGTACGTAAGAGAACGACTGAATACAAGGCTTTGGTCATTATATCTATTCAAATACAGGTCATTTGCTTACCTCTTCTAATAAAATGTAAGAGAAATCTTTTAGCCGGTCACTTTATGAAGTTCTTTCAGTTCTAGTCAGTCTGCAAATTTAATCCTTCACTCCGAATATGTTGTAGAATTGGTGTATAATGGCTTTAGAGTTTCAACTTCTTGGAGTGTCAAGATTTTTATTTGATGGAGCATTGGATGTTCATTTAGATATTGAATTTCTTCGTCGTTTTCTTGATGGATGCAATCTAAGATCCTGCTGTGATAGAGTTTTTCCTTTGGAAAAATATGAATTTGAAGTTTCCTTTTACATGATGAGTAATGTTACAAGTACAAGGGAATGTTCACAGATTTTTTTACAGGATTCCACAAGGTACAGATTCATTGGCAAATGGCAAAAAAACAAAAAAAACTATCTACAAATGAAGTGTTGTAGTGTAGGAAAAGCATGAAAAAAAAAAGGCTCGAATGGTACGATCCCTTTGTCACCCCAGAATGAAAAGGGTGATCTTGTAGTTCTTGGTCTGTGAAGATGCATTGTTAGGTGCTCCATTTTCTTTTCCCATTGAGGCCGAACCTAAACCTGTGCTCGAGAGATAGCTGTCTATACACTGGTAAGGGATGTATGGATTCTCGAGAAGAGAGAAGCCGTCAGTGAGGAACCCACTTTCTAGTGTGCGCTTTAGTTTTCAAAATCCACTACTGTTAAATCAGGCCAGGTTTTTCCCGATAAAGACCATACAGGAGTTTTATGCTCACGGAAAGTCTTTAGTTCGCTAGTCTTTTTGATTTCCCACTTGCTCTGTGGGAATTGAAACCCCTGTTTGCTGTACTAGCCCCTGAAAACCCAACAAAGTCTAGTATGGTCCTCGATAAATGTGACAAACCACTTTGTGTGGGTACGATTAGGGGTTCAAGAGGGTCCCCATAGATCACTGTGTATTAAGATGAATGGTCTAGAGAGTTTATACATAGATTTTGGGAACGACGAGCGATGATGTTTTGCAAGCTTACAAATGTCACATTTAAGATCAAAAGACGTTTTATTCGAAAAAATTGAAGTAAATACATGTCTTAGTTATTGAAAAATAGGATGACACATTCTATAATGCCATAAAAGAATATCACTATTCTTAGGAACAAAAACAGAATCACAACTAGCAAATCGACGTTGTTGACTCACATTAGTCTCGTCAAAGTAGTAGAACTCCTCACACTCTTTAACACTGTCAATCGTTTTCCCCAATGATAGATCCTGACAGACACAGTGAAAAGGAAAAAAATTAGTAGAGAATTTAAACTTTTTGTTAATTAACTGATGGACTATAAATTGCATGATAGATTTGGGACATGTAGTACATTTTTTAGTGTAATCAAATTAGAGATTCGAATACTCCTTTTTTCAGCCACTGGGGATATAGAACCATCTGATAGAGAACAATCTGCAGTTTTAACTTTAAAATTGCCAGCACAAGGTGAGTATGAAATAAATAGGTGGTATGAGCCGTCATGTGATCGGAAGCACCTGAATCGATAATCCATGGTATTTTTGAAAGTAAGGTGGTATTAAAGCTTCTTAGGATATTACCTCTATGAGCCAACGAACTTGAAGAGTTAGGTGATTGAAAGTTGAAGAATATTTTGCACAGTTGTTCTAGCTATTCAGGACTAAATGCATTGTTGAAAGTGGAATTTTGTGTTTCAGAGGAATTGACTACAGCTTGGTAGCCGTGATTTCTAGTGTTCTGTCTTAGTTTTCGATCGGATGGCTTTCCATGCAAATCCCAACAAGTGTCCGCTTATGTCTAGGTTTTTTACGGTGTTCGCACCATAGGCGACCAGTTTGTTGTCTTGGGCTGGCTCCAATTTTTTTTGTCATTCTAAGTATTTGGGCTCCCAAATCAGGCCCACTATATTTAGACCCATCATGTAAATTCCTTTTTGCCTTGGCAACAATTCCTTTAGGCCCAACTTCATGAGATCTAGTAGGCTCATTAAAAATCAGACAATAGGGCCGACCCATCAAAACCTTCATCAGACCCAACTCCTTCCTTCTTCAACATAATGGATCGGCAACTCTCCTCTCGTCAGACTTCAGCGAAGGCGTCCCGGGTGGATGGCAATGACCGGCGACTGAGAATTTGGCCCCTCACGTCATTGAGTTTTCTGTCCAATCCAGCCAAGAATTCATACAATCGTTCATTCTCTACCCTCTTCTTATAGCGAACTAGGGCAATTCCACTGTTCATCCATACTAAGGTCTAATTCCTGCCATAAAGAGGTCATCTCCATATGGTATTCAGTGACACTTCGGTCTCCTTGCTTTGCCTTCCAGAGTTTGGTCTCAATTTCGAAAATTTGGGATGCATCCTCTGTGTCGGAGTACATCTCACGAAGGCTATCCCATATATCCTTTGCAGTTGCCATGAAGAGGTAAATCTTGCTGATTGAAGGTACCATAGAGTTGACAAGCCATGACATAAACATAGAATTTTTAGATTCCATTTTTGTTGGAGAACGGGATCCGCAGGTTGCTTCATTTCGCCGGTAAGGTACCCACTTTTTCCTTTCCCTTCGACCACTAACTTAATGGATTGAGCCCATTCTCTATAATTCCTACCATTGAGCTTCTCGATTGTGAGTTGAAAAGCAGAATTATCAACTTCAATTGAAGTCACAGGGTGAACAGATTCGGTCTCACTAGTTTCGGAATGGAGGGTGGTTGAGTTTTTACTATTGGCAGTGGTTTCTACCATTGATAGCCGGGTTTGAATTTACCCGTGCTCTAATACCACGTAGAAAACAGAGAAAATACCATTTTTTTTTTTAATAAATATCTTACACCTCGATCTCTCTTTATATACTACAATACAATTGATTTGGAAGGAAAGAAAACATTCTATCTTAAGAAAGGCAAAATTATTTCCTAAACTAACTCTGATTATTCCATACAACATATATTACAATCTCCTATAATTAGTACGTGATTTCCACATGTAACATATATGGGAGATAGATATATTAACTAATTCTGTAGCATGAGTGATGCAGGATCAACTGACACAATTAAAGGAGAAAGAAAACAAATCTATGAAGAAGAGATTAAAGAAAGAACGATAGAAAATCCAATAGAATAGACTAGAAAAGAGAGGAATTTTGCCACAATCCACCAAAAATTTATTCAATCATCAACTGTTTCAATTTCACGACAAACTAGATTTAAATAGCAAAACAAACCCCTAAAAAAAACCTCAAAGGGCTTAGGCCAAATCCAATAATATAACATAAATAATAGTCAAAATGCAAACATAAAATAATAAATGGATGTTCGCATCAACTCTCCTGTGGTGGGAGAAATCTTGACCCCGTCGAGTGGACAAAACACAAAAAGCTGCGGTCGACATGATACCAAAAAGGTTCCATACCATATCTTCATTCAGTGCTAAGCATTTAAACTCATGTTACGGGGGACGATCTTTTTGAAGAATCAAATATCGAAGTTCAACAATTGATAACAGTGAAAGCTGTGGCTTATCCTCATGGATATTATCCACCCAAGGAGGACGATCTCTCTTTTTAATCAAATACCGATACTGATCTCAAAATAATAAACACTCATGCATCTTATTTCCAAAATCTTCATGTGATTATGCACAATAAGGAGCATAAGAAGTTAGCACCGAAGGCTGCCCTGTACAGACAAAAGATTGCAACATAGAAGGCTCGAATGGGCCCCGATTAGGAAACAATTCTTATACAAAATATAACTTTTACTAAAGTGATATGGCCACTCAAATAGGAAATCTTTATATGAGAGATCAACAAACTTTTTCTTCACATTTTTGGGAAATCGGATAAAAGAGATACGCAATAAAGTATAGTAATTATCATAAGAATACCTTAACTTATATTGTACGTCGAAAGTAAGTTCAAAAATTTGATGATTGGAAATGATTTGACCTTTTAATTTGACCTTTTAACTTGTCATGAAATTTAAGAACATTATCAATAGAATGATAAGCTGACACAGCATATCGATAATTAGTGGGTAACCTCCTAATGTTAATAGGAAGAGTGTGCAATCGAATAATGGCCCTAGAGAACAATGTGGTAAATCGTGGAATCTTATGTAATTGAGGGAGAACTAACAAATTCAACATGAAAGTCATGCAACATAGTAGGCCTAAGATCTAGGACATCTGAAATGTTTTATTTCGATGGCATTGCTTTATACACTTTCTCAATTTATGTCAATGTTAAGTGTATTGGAAATCATAATCTCTAATCATGTGGGATAAGCAAGGTAACATTGAAATTAATCGGTTAACGATTTTAGCCAAGTAATGTAAAAGTTATAGCCTTACAAATATGTGCATCACTGTAGGCAGCCAGGAGGGACGTAAGAATTATGTAGACCCCCCCTTCCCCTTTTAGTGCTTGTTTGGTATAGATTTTAAACTAATTAAAATCAATTTTTTGATCATTATTTCACTATTTCAACTATCATTTTTGAATTTTTCTCTTACAGGTAGGATCCACTTTATCTCTAATGGTCAAAAAATCAATTATCAAAATCCCTACCAAACAAGCACTTAGGTTATTTCATGTTTACCCAGGGTCCTTTATAATCTCTAATCTGAAGTAGTCGAATTTCGTCTTATTTTTATGGATGATATTCATGGATGTGTTAATGTATTTGATTCTAAATTATGTAAATCACATGATTCCTTACCCCTTTGTTATCTCAGACTGTCATACTTCAGAAATTTCAGCTGTTTGATGATGATAATGGTCATTGTTACAATTTAACATAGTTTGTCAGTTACTTCTCTCTTTTCATTCTTCTTTAGTCCATGGTTTACTTACTCTTCATCTACGGGTAAAACTTGACTTCCTAAAAGTTGGATGCGAAGATTTTGGTGGCCAGAGGGTGTCTAAAATGGAATTAATGCAAGCTGTTTTGTGGCCTCAGAAACATAAGGATGCTATCAAACAAATTTGGGACCCACCCTCCTGGCATATTGTTGTTTGGTCCTCCAGGATGCAGCAAAACTCTAATGGCTTGTGTAGTAGCTTGTGAAGCCGGGATGGAATTTTCATGCAGTAAAGGGCCCTCAGCTTTATGACAAATGGGTTGGTGAATCCGAAAAGAATGTAAAATCTTTATTTAAAAAGGCACAGGCAACGTCCCTATCAATGATATTTTTTGATGAAATAGATGGACTAGTCACAGCTCGTGGGGAAGAAGGTGATGAGGTTTCAGTTGGTGATCAAGTTATAACTCAATTACTTAATGAATTGGATGGTAACTAAATTCGGAATCCATCTTTTGTGAATAATTCTTGTTTATATAGACATCTATTGTTATAGAAATTGTTTATTGTGAGATTTTTTACTGATTGAAAAAACCTTCTTAAAAGTATCTTTATCTTATGTTCTGAGTATTTCAATATTTTGCTGGTAGGTGTGCGTGGAAGGGTTGATTTCACTATTATTGCTGCTACAAATCGGCCAGATAAGATTGACCCTGCTCTTCTAAGACCAGGTACTAGCCTGATGTCTAGTGATTTGATGTTGATTGTTGCTATGCAACATTTTATGGTAAAATCCAATAGCTATATAGTATTTTAATTAGAATTTCGGTAGGATGTTTTGATCGACTTCTTTATATCAGACTACCAGATGAAAATGATTGCGAGTATATATTCGTTGTTCGTTTGCGCCGGAGGGCTTGTAGTTCTGATGTATACATTGAAGAACTTGCTCATCTTACTGAAGGATATACTGGTGCTGAAATTAAAAAAATCTGCAATGATGTAGGTGTATCAGCCTTGGAGGGGTGTTGAGTAGTGAGTGCTAATCAAAATAAATAATCAAAAGATAAATAAATTTTTCTTCTTTATAATGTCTTTAGTTCTCTATGTTATCTCATGGTACGAGGAGGATCCAACTGACGGGGTAATAACAATGGATCATTTGAGAGCTGTGATACAAGAAGTCCAGCCATCTGATTATGAGCTTTTTGAGAAGTAGTCTATGGAGTTTCTGACACGTTTTTACTCAACTCCCTATGAAAAATATTGGGCTCATCAATCTTGCTCGAGGAAACCAAATCATATCTCTATCTGGTATGTCTTTCTCCATTGTAGATTTGTGGAAGATCATTTACGTTTTCTATTTCTTTGTGTTAGACTATTTGGTGATTTTAATATGCTGTTTTTCATCGTACTTCCTCTTTACCAGGATGGCCTTCTAATTTTGGTTGTCTCAAAAAGTAACGTCTTGTAAATCTATTAAGTAATTCTTTTTTCCAACCTTCTGCTCAACTTCTCTTAACGTGTGAAGGAAATTCAAAAGAAAACGAGTGTCTTCTATCCAAAATTGCAGATACAACAGTCCATCCGTCGCCTTTTCCCCTTCCTACACTTGTAACACAATCATAATTCATTTTAAGAGGATTAAATATGTAGAAGTCCTTAAGTTATAAACCGCACCTAACAATTCTGCCTATTTGATGGGTGAAATTGATGGCAAGTATTCCTTTTTTAATTACCATTGACATCTTAAAGAGAAGAAAATTTTGTTCATTTCTGTAATTCAACGAGTGCAATCAAAATAGGAGTCTTATTCTAGTGAACCAAGAAAATGAATAATTTGTGTAATAAACAACTATACATCGACAGCTAGCATGAAATGCATAGATGTCAAGAACATGAATTTCTGAAGTCATTCAACATGTCTTTCCAACTCTGTCCTTGAAATCTCATGCCATTTTAAACTGGAACTCCTAGGGATTTTCCTTGCCATTTTCCTGAGGTTGATTAGATCATCAGTTAGTTTTGTTCCTAGATTGCACATTTGGAAAAGTGGTTTTAACGGGAACGGATACTAAACAAGAAAAAGAAGCTCAAATATTGGCCGTTATACCATCTACTACAATTTAATGCTGTGTCAAACACTCGAGAGTTGTATTTTTTTATTTTTTTTTTCCTCCCACTTACAACCTCTTCTTTCATTTGAAGTGTCATCTGAAACTATTCATGTTATTTGGTGGAGCAGGAGCCTAATACAATCTACTGTTTGTTTTCTGTACCGGCTCCCAAAAACCATTTGACAACCATATTCTTCTTCAGCTGATCTGTATGTGACATATTTCCATGTTCTCTTCATTAATTTTGGGTCCCATGTTAATTGATCTTGCGTTTCATTTGTAAAAGTTTGGGTATGAGGATTGAGATTCTTGACTGCATTATTACATTATTCACCTACAATCTACTGTTCGTTTTCTGTACCGGCTCCCCAAAACCATTTTACAACCATTCTTCTTGAGCTGATATTTCCATGTCCTCTTCATTAATTTTGGGGTCCCATGTTAATTGATCGTGCATTTCATTTGTAAAAGTTTGGGTATGAGTATCGAGATTCTTGATTGCATTATTACATTATTCACCTGTACAGGTAATATTTAGCTGATCTGTCCAAAGAATGGGAGTTGTAGAGTTGGGCGATGCCCTTACCAGACATCAATTGTACTGATTTTGTAGATGGATATATTTAGAAGTTAATCTTAAAATTAGTTGATACAATTGAGATCCCTTTTTAACTTTTCGCGGCCCTCCATATTAGGATTATTTTTCTTATTGCTCCATTTGTTTTACGCGGATTAATTTAATTTGGAATGATGTTTATGATACAATTAGTTGGGTTATTGCAGGCCAATTTATTTATTTTTTAAATAAATTTTATGTAATAATACCAAGAGTACAAGTAGAAAGAATGATATAACTGGTTACAAACTATCATGAAATTTTGAGTTGAAGATTTTCCACTTTTCCCTCACTGCAAGTTATGTTGAAGAAAAATTGCACTACTTATTCGTGTTTAATATTGCATATTAAACATTTATTATTTAAGATTCATTGCCTTTTTTGGAGAGATTATTTGTTCATATGTTCACTTATAATTGAAGCAAGACCCCATTAACCTCTGATGTCTTTGAATACGAAGAATCTTCATGTCCATCGGACCATTATATTTGCAACCAAACATCCACTGACAACATTGAGCAACCAAAAATAATATAAGCAATCAAGTTATACTTTAATTATAAAATTTACTTTTGTGGTCTCGAAATAAGTACCAAATTTAAGTTTAAATTATTATTCAAGAATTTACTGCCACGAGAGTTTTACTTGTTCTATCCATTTCGTCAATATACCGACTTCTTATGAAAATTGGAATCTGAAGCCCTCCGGGGCATATTTCAATGGTGTAAAGCACAAGAGTGAAATAGTCTCAGTCTTGTTGGTAGTCGCAGTGTGGGGGGTTCGATTCTTAAAATATGGAGTTGGACTCTTTGTGGGCACTAATGTACAAGCAAGCTCTTGTTTCCTGACCTGCTGATACATATCTCGCGATTTGCCTCTCTCACGATGCTCCAGGAGCGAGACAGTGGAGACACTCAAGATTGGAGTTCAACCTTTAAAATTAGAATCTGAGAGGTATCTCAAGTTGGCATATTTAATATGTGTTAGTTTGTATGTATAGAATAATGCTTCACAGGACAATTTCAGAATACTCAGATGGGATGAGTAAAATATTATCAAAAAAATACCCATCCACCCACCTCACGTGAGTTTTATTACCAAAAAAATACTCACCCCTTCTATTATGTGTGACTTGTAAGATCCTTGTGAAGATACCCTGTACGCCAAGTGGGCTCTTAATATACACTAGTTTTGTGATGTTAAAATTGACTCTCAACTAAATAATCCCATAAAAAAAGTCATGTAGTTCCCACGTCCAACATCAAAAACAAGTCAAGAAAACTCCCTTTTCCAAAAATTCATTATTACATTTATTCCCAATCCTAATCAGATTCTCCCTACTCCTCACCCTACTACACAAGTACAAAGAAACTCCATCCATCAACAAATATTTATTCCCTCAAATTCCCTCAAAGAGCGTGTGTTACACACTTCGAAAGAACGTATCTTTGGACCTTTTCCTTCAATAATCTATCAGAAAATCACCAGTCACCCCACGTTTCCTTGTTCAAATCCAATGAAAATTCAGCGTGTAGTTCACGCTCCAAGACATAGAATGGTTTCTGTGTCTCTTAGGACAGAGATACAAATATACATACATGTGTTTTTGTGTGTGTGTGTGAATTATTGGAAAATAAGATTTCATTTTTGAAAATTGAAACAGCAGAGAACACAGTACCATTCCCATAAAAATCATCTTTTAATGAGTATTAAAGCTGAAAACAAGAAAATAAGATCCACCTCGATCGCCACCATCTTCCGCCACCACCGTTCCCGGCGGTGACTCCCTCTTTCACACACAGACATATATTACTCTATTATCTCCAAAATCAAATCTTTCTTCAATGGAAGATAGAGGAAGGAAAGAATAGAAATTTTGCCCATATATGTTATTCTATATTTTGATTTAGATTAGTTATACAGAATCTTGAAACTCAGAAGAAGAGAAACTCTGTCCCACAAGAAAATTTCATTATATCCAAGAAGAGGGAATAAGTATGAGGGAAGAGGATTCCAATTGGTTTGCCAAATGGGAAGAAGAACTGCCTTCACCTGAAGAACTGATGCCCTTATCCCAATCCCTAATAACCCCTGATCTTGCACTTGTATTTGATATTCGGAACCATAACTACCAAAGCACTCCACCTCCGCCACCGCCTCTGCTGCCTCAACCCACGGCTCTCTCCTCCCAACCCAACTCCTCAGACTCGGCTGAGTTGGGCGGAGGTGGCGGTGGAGGCGGAGGCGGGTTGGGCTCAGATGAACCGGCGCGCACCCTGAAGAGGCCACGGCTCGTGTGGACACCACAACTCCATAAAAGATTTGTAGATGCTGTGGCTCATTTGGGGATCAAGAATGCCGTTCCCAAAACCATTATGCAGTTGATGAGTGTGGATGGCCTCACCAGAGAGAACGTTGCCAGCCATTTGCAGAAATACAGGCTTTATCTAAGGAGGATGTCCAGTAATGGAAGTGCCGTTGGCAACAATAGCCCTGGAGGTGTGGACCCTGCAACTGACCGTTTGTTCGCCAGCTCCCCTGTGCCTGCTCATTTTTTGAACCCAAACAGGCAAAATTCTGACCATTTCTTGCCCTTTGTGCCGGTGGCCTCAATGAATCATCATCATCCAATGCCAGTGGTAGGGCCAGGGCCAGGTCCAGGGCTGCACCACTATCCACTACAGCAATTTAGGCATTTGGGGACTTCACCATCGAATGTGCCATTTGAACATCCGTTCATTAGGCCGTCCCATCCGGTTCACAGCAGTAATGGTTCTGTTATTGCACCACATCTGGAGGATTTGGAGTCAGCTACCCCTACAAATGGGAGGAAAGTCCTCACCCTTTTTCCAACCGGAAATGATTAAACGCAGGGTAATTGTTCTGCATTTTTCTCATCTCCTTCGTTTCGCGTCCTAGTGAAAAATCTGTCATTGGAGTTTCAATTTAGTTTTAGACTTTAACTGCCTTTTCTTGTTAATGGCATTTTTAGCTATTCTGATGCAGTAAGTTGAGTAATTGGCATCCAATTGTCATGAAAATACCTTATTGTAAATCTCACTTTATTTCTATTGGAATCAACTGTTGCATGGTGAAAATTTTGTTGTCTGTTAATCTAGTCCATTGATTTTAGTCCGTTAGCATAAGTTAAGTAAGTTGTCAGTAGCATTATGTGGTATCCATTTTAGCTTCTGATGGCAGATAATAATCCACGTAGTAATATAATTCACATCGTTCTTACTCCATGAACCAATAATCGCTTGGTTGTCACTTTGAGAGGCAATAAGTAGAAAATAGTTCTCTTGTTTCTTAGTTTGGTGTAGAGGAGAGTCCTACTTCTTGTAAATTGTTGTATGGCTGATATGCTGTGACAGCATTTCCTTTGAATTTTTCTCAAGGGAGTAGATTTTAGGGGAGTGCTAGCTTATTGCATATAGTTCCTAGAGATGTAAAAAATTTGGGGCATTAATCGAATGTGCAGTTTCTTCATTTGAAAATGCATTGAAGTAACTTTAATCTCAGCTTCTTTGAAGTGCGGCCGAAGTTAATGCTTTATACTGTGATAGCTTGTTTTTATATATATTATTGAAGAAAAGGAAGCTAAAATCTTGTTTGTTATATTCTTCATTCGTATTTAATATTGCTTGCCAAACACACACTAATAGTTAGAAAGCGAGGTTGTCATGTAATTTTGCCGTTTCTCGAGTTCAAATTCCTGAGCATATGTTTTTAGATGATTAAGCATGATGCATTTGTTTTACTCGGTTAAACATGTCCCATTGAAACTTTTTCGATCCCCATAATTCTCAATCAATCTTTGAAGAATTTGTAAATAAGACGTACTCAAAGTATGAAATCAAGGTAGCAGGACGATATGAAGTTTTTACACAAGTAAGCCGTCTCCACTAGATCTGTTCCTAGGAGTACCCTAAAAAACTATGGTTTGCTAGATGATATCCTACAGAAGCCTAAGGGATGATTGGCTTTAGGAAAATCTTTTCGATGGGGGAAGAACTCGTTTTCAAGTAAATGTGATTTTGCCACGATTTACCTGTAACGATTTATTTTAGGGTTAAAAGAGTTATAATTTCATCCATCAGTTAAGTATATGATGAATTAAAACGTTGGTATAAATTCTTCTTTACCTTTCCATGAAGATGGGATCCTTATTGCTGAGAATATTTTGGTTTTGAATAGGCCACAAGTGGATTTCTAGTTTTTGCAGACAGACACAGACGGAGATGTCCATATTTCAAGTTTAGATTAGATTAGAAATGTTTCAATTAGAATATGGAAAGAAATCTCTCAGAAATATACCACCATTTGCACCTAATCCATCTTTTCTGTTAGGAATAAAGCAATAGATTTCCTCTCCTTTGAACACAGATCAATTTTATAATGTTTTAATGTCAAAGTTGCGAAAACTAATGAAGCCCAAAACTTTATTGATTATTCTATTTGGAATTCAGATGACTTGTATGCATTTACGATCGTTACACATTTTTTTATTTATTTTTAGTTCCTCTTTCCTCTGTAGGTTTAAATGGCTAATGTACTTCAAGCTTTTGTGTATCTGTGAATCCTATAATTCACTAGTTAATCTCTCCATTGTAATTAACCCAGATGATAACAAGTGTTAAATTTTATTGAGATTGCATCACAGTGAATGTATATACAATCACGTTATACATTCAAGCTTAAATCCAAGTGAAACACGTGTCGAAACATGATTGGACAATTTGAAAAATTAAAATAAAAATACACAATTATTTTCTGACTCTTCTCGCCACCTGTTTTTAAGCTTGACTAAGTGGCTTTATTCATGCATATATAAACCACCAATTCCAGCCTAAATCACCAACATCACTAGTGGATCTACACATCGCACCACCATCATAAATCTCCACTTCCGAACCCTAAATCATCCCAAAGCACAACTACTTTAACCATCACCACTTCCCAACAACTTCAACCGCGACCAAATTTACCCACGAAAAAAAAAAGAAAAAAAAATTCAATCTGAGGTATAAAAATGAAGTATAGATTTGAAAATCGAATTGCTCCAACCATAATTTTTCATTTCTGAAAAATCAAACTTTCTAAAATTTAAATATTAGAGGGCGTGGAAGGTTGTGGTACGGAGGCAAGCAGTGGTGGTTACAATGAAGTTCGTTGCCATGGTGGTGATGAGGAAACAATGGTTCCTGTTCGGTTCCAAATTAGATTTTTCGATTTGTTAGTATTTTTAATTAATATAGTATATTGTTTGTGTGTGTATGTGTATATATATATATATTGAGAATTTTAAGCTCAATAGGAATTTAGAACGTAGCTGCACCAAAAAAAGGAGGAAATCTTACCATATCAAAAAGACACTACAAATTAATAAATTACAATTACACTTCTGAATTACGTTGGCCCAAGCCAACTTGTTGGGCACAAATTTTTTGAAAAATCGTTTCTTCAACAAAACCATTTTCAACCTCTCATTCTACAGCATCCACAACTTATATCCACTTTTCAACTACACATTTTCTTATTTAAAAAAAAATAATAATAAAAAAATCATTTTTCATATTAAAAAATCTATTCCAAACAAGCAGGCTTGGTCAAATTAAGCATAGTTGAGCAATGAAGGATCAAAAACAGTAAAATTTTGCAAAAAATTGCTACAAGACAACCCTAAACCGATCCTAGTAGTCGCAGTATGCAGTATTTCAACTACAATGTACTCAATGATATTAAAGAACTCTATAATTGTGTCACCCAACAGCCGCCCTTGGCGTTTTCTGCTTTTTACCGTTCCAAATACTGTTGTAGACCCCCCATTATCCCCTTATATTGAGCAAAATAACTGATATGGCAAGGCTGACACCCAATAATTTATAATTATCACAGATAGACATTCAGTAGTATCAAATCTCTACAAACAATATAGTCAGTCCAGAATTATATGGAGAATGAAGCTACATTAAATCTGACGGTTCACCTAAATCAAGAAAATCTACATCGGACAAAAAACAGTAGCTCCTTCAGTAATACAGAAATTCCCCCAGCTTATAATTTGATTGTCATGTATGGTTCTGAATGTGTTCAAAACTTAGTGGCTGCTGATAGAAGGGAGCCTACAAGAAACAGAGCCAGTTGAATTAATTGTAAAAATTGCAAATACATTTTCTTTCTAACGAAGTAGAGGCTCACACTTTTCAATACAAAATCCATGGTGATCCCTGAAAGAATTAAAAGAACAGCTAAGGAGAATGAAGCTTGTGCCTACCTGAAAAATGGTCTGCCTCAAGTGATCATATGACTGTGCATACATCGTCGACTGGGAAGGCCACTGCATGTACAAAGCACCCCTAGGAGTCTGATTCAATCCCATTGCATGGTAAGGGCTCATAACAGGGCTCCTGTAATTGATGGAAGCTTGAGCCACAGGCATCTGACCCAGCCGAGGAATAACGGAGTCATATTGCATGAATGGAGGTGGGTATTTCGGAACATTAATTGGTGCTACGTTGAAACTTTGAATGCTCGGTAAGTTCTTAACATATCTGCATTCGCATGATATTAAAGAGGACATGTGCATTAGCATCATTATATAGTGTAATAACTTGTAACATCATTAAGTAAATGCTCCTTAAATTGAATTTCCCAACATTTTATAATATGCTATAAAAGTTCTACGAACTGAAAATGGGTGGTGCTGTAGAAGTATTCCACAAACATACGATTCGAGTGTAGTGACTGTAAAAGTGCAAGTCTATAAGATTGAGAAGAAAGGGGAAGGAACTAGGACCATGTGTG